TCCGGGCAGAAGGCCAGGTGCTGGGCGAGAGAGGGAGGGGAGGGTTACTGGCAGGCTGGAGCTGTGTCTCTTTTGAGGCAGGGCAGCAGGCCATAGAAGAGGAAAGGTGGTGACTAGAGAAAGAAAGGGCTAACAGCAGAGGGTGAGGGCACGGCCTCCATTTCGGGCAAAGCTCCCTGTATGAAGCTGGACATGGCACTGGTCATGGAGGCTGCTGGAGGAGCAGGAGCTGTTTGATTTCCTTCAAACTGGGAGCAGATTGGGCTAGGACTTGGGAAACATGAGTGGGTGTGCCTAACTATCATTTACAGGAAGGTTCTGAAAACAGGGAATTTAAACTATAAAAACTTTCCCCCTCCACCCACTCTGTTCCCTTGTGGTCTCCATTCCTGGTGCCATCAAAGCTAATGCCAGGAAAAGGGGCCAGAGAGTGCCTAAAACATCAATTCATCTAAGATAATCTGGCCTTCACCCTGACAGAAACAGGGACAGTGACATGATGGGAAGCTGCCAAAAGTTCAACTCATTAACAGCATGTAACACATTAACCAGTTCCCCAGAGCAGCAGCTACCCCTACACAGCAGAACATATGTGGCCTGGGTCTTACTTTCCCTGGACTGGTTGTTGTTCCGGGTCAAGTTATTGGTACATCTAAATCAAGTTATTGCTGTTTGACGGAGTTGTCCTGGTTTAATTAGGTGAAAATCCATGTAATGCACTGTGACAGGCAGTGTTGTATAACAGAGGGAAATGGGATTTTTTGACCGCTGTCTTTACTGTCTTTACCTTGGTCTGCAGTAGGAAGATCAATAGCTCTGGTAATTATTACCCTTGTAAGTGAGAGTAGAATATCTGCCTAACTTATATTTCTAATGCAAACTCCAAAGAATTTGGGAGATCTATGTTAGAGGATGTAAAGCTTAATTTTCAGATTAAAAAGTGTGCAGGATAAAATGATTTTCTGACTGCCCTTCCCTTCTCCTACTATCATCATCAGGAACTTTGGAGTTAAGAAATCCAAGTGAAGTGCAGTAAAAAATCTTCATTTCAGACCACATTCTGCCCTGCAGTGACCTGCATAGGAAACAAGAGGATAGTAGTGTCCAATTTCCTCGGGGACTGCAAAAAGACAACCCATATTTGTGCTCTTCCTTCTCCATCTGATGCCTAAAGGTCGCTTTGCCTGTCCAAAAGAAATGTAACCCGGTACAGACTGCCTCACCCACAGGGAAGAGAATTTGTACATTGGGTGGTCAAAGCCTTTTTGAATATTACAATTTACATTGGTTCAAACAGGTTGGGAGCTGGACTGACTGAACATAAACCTTATAGCAACAAGGTGCAGAACTACACATGGCAGAGGAATGCCTTTTGTCAAATAGCCAAACAGCTCACACTGCTCCCAAACCAGCTCCTGATCATTAGAATCTTGATCAAAAATGTGCTCTTGTAGCCAAAAACTGAAGAGAAATTATTTCAGTCCATTGAATGGGACAAGTTTTCAAAGGCTTGAGAATCCAAGTCGGTACACTTAACATGCACAGACACCAAACTGCCCTCAAAGCCCATGCAATTCAGTTTGTAGGAGTGGCACAGACAAGGCAGTGGCAATGAATTTTCCTGCTCTCCCCTGCCATTTCTACTTGCTGTGAGTACAACTGAGAAAGCAAACAGGCTTTCTAGACATTTTTTGTTAGATTCTAAGTGCTTAAATTCTCAAGAAAACTCCCACAAGGTGTTGGCCTATCCATGAGGAGAGTATGGTTTAATAGTGTCTGAGATTTCTCACAGCAAATCCGAAGTTCTGTCATTTGGCATAGGTCAAAGGTGCCCCAATTGTACAAAACCAGCATTAAGTATCCTTTATCTAAACCAAGAATCTTGTTCCATTCATGAATAGCATCACAGAAGTGTTGGTTGTAAGGGAGCTCTGGAAGTTATGTAGTCCGTCTTTTCACTTATACCAGGACTGCTGCCAATGCTGTCAGCTGTGACTTTGTCAAATCAGATATTAAAAACTTCTGAGGATGAAGAGCCTACTACTTCCCCTGTGATGTGTTCCAGTGTTGCACTAATCTCTGGAGAGGATGTCTTTCCTCGTGTCCAGTCTGAACTCCCAAAGCTGCAGTGGCAGCCATTGTCCCACATTATATCTTCTGCCCCTACCAGGAAAATTCTTGTTCTAACATCTTTGTAACTGCCCTTCAAGTATTTGTAGGCAGTTATTTAATCACTACAGTTTGCCTTGGTCAGACTAAACAAGTCTTGCCTACCTTGTCACTCCCTGTGGCAATGAATTTTCCCACCCCCCATGCTCTGACCAGTTTGACAGTCCTCCTTTGGACTACCTTCAGTTTCTTCACATTCCTCTTGAACAGGAGGTCAGCACACCCGACAGAGTTCAAGTGCAGCCTCAAAAATGACATGGAGAATAAGGATTGTAACTTACCTCAATCTGCTAGCCATGCTCCTCCTGTATTCATTCATGATGGCTTGTAGAGTTCATACAAAAAGAATTTACTTCCAAGAAAATCAGTATGCATCAATCAACTATATCAACATGCTCTAGATAGAAGATTAAAAACTCTGCCAAAGATACTTGTTCAACTGCTTTCCATGGAAATGAATATATTTGTTCCAAATTGCTTTAGTATTGCAAAAACTTGAATCCAGAGAGGTGCTACGTGCTCTGTTGAAAGTAAAATCCACAGCTAAAAATCCTTTCCCCTCAAAGAATGCTCAACTTTTGAGGCAATCTAATGTATTTATTTATTTTACGTTTCCTGAGTGTCTCTTTGGGATGAGATTGAGAGCCCATGTTTGAAGAGCTAAAGATTAACATATTAATATATTAAAATAATAAATGAATATTATATAATAAATTATAATGTGCCCTGCACCACAAAATCCTTGGGGAGGCATAGCTGTTCCCTTATTGATAAGGTAAACTAGGCAAGCTCAGAGACATGCTCACCTTGCCTACAAATGTCATGATAATATAGGAATCTGCCTCTTCACTGGGATTCTCTGGTAAGGTAACTATTAAATTCCCTTCTGTAGATCCCACCATCATTTTGACAAAGCAGGTAAAGGCTCCAGCACCATCTCACAGGGCCTCGCAGATTTCTAGGAGTGAGGGACAACTATCTTTTGATAGCTGAATGGACTCTGGCACAGACAAAATGACTCACCCAAAGTAACACAGACAATCCAAGATGAAAAAAGTTTTCACCTCCCAGTACACTGCAGATTACTCAGGTCTTACTGTTGCAGGCACAGTTGTCAAAAAACAGACCCACTGTTGCTGAAAACATTCCCACCTTAAGACTCTGAGTTCAGTAAACCCTATACAAGGCTCAGCAGATATCCACTTAGCTGAGGGTGCTAAGATCCATATGTTTGTCTTCATCTGCCTTGACACCTTCATGTGTTACATCCTATTAAGTAGATGGAAGATAATGCCATTGGTAGCTGGTAAGGGTTTCCTTCTAATTAGAATAAAAATATGAAGCAAATATAAACTGTACGGACTCTGAATTGAAGTGCTAAAGTTGGTTGTTGGACTTCTATGATTCTATTAATAAGATCTCCCCTCAGCCTTCTTTGCTTTAGAATAAACCATTCACCTGTCTCAGTCTTTCCTCATAGATGCTGGAGACGAGCTCCAGTCCTTGCATCGTCTTTGTGGCCCTCCATTGGACTCCCCAGTATGTCCATGTCTCTCTTGTACTGAGGAGCTCAGAACTGCACACAGTGCTCCCAGCGTGGCCTCCTCAGTGGTTAGTAGAGGTGAATGATGGCCTCCATCAACCTGTTGGAATTATTCTGTCTAATGCAGCCCAGGACAGTATTTGTCTCCTTTGCAGCAAGGACACACTGCTGGTCACATTCATTCTGGTGCTCAAAACGACCCCTGGGTCCTTTTTGAAAGAGTCTTTTCAGGTGGGTCCCCATGGTGTACTGGTGCATGGAGCTGTTCCTTCCCAGCTGCAGCACTTTGACATTCTCCTAGTTGGATTTCACGTGGTTCCTGTCAGCCCATTTCTCCGGCCTGTCTTTGCCAGAACAAACACACACCTCACAACACCTACCATGAACCTGCTGCTCACCAAGGCAAGGCTTAAGGTTGTTTGGGAAATCCCTATGGAAACACATCTGTGCACCATGTCATATCTGCATAGTGAGGTGGATGTTCAGAGCAGGCCATGGTTGCTGTGTGTGCTTCAGAGGTCATTCATATGGGCTCAGCAGCCTGTATGTCAGTCAAACCTACAGACTGAGTGATAGCAGTTACTTTGCATCAGGACCACCCACCATCAAGCACTCCTGTCAGACTTACTGCTCTGACAGCAATTCCAGACCAAGGCTAAATTGACAATAGTAAATTGAAATGTAATATAAATATATTTCCATAAAGAGGGTAAATTGAAAATAAAATTTCTCTTCCTTTGTTGGAATAAAATGTGTGTTAAAAAGTTTTCCAGCTGTGTGGAAATGCAACCTACTGTACAATCCTTAATATTCATTGTGGTTTTGTGCTGTTCAAACTCTGAGCCTGTCTCTGCTCTATTTGAACTGCAAGTTCCTTTTATTAAGGATTTGTCCACTGCTTCCTCTCTCTGCAGTAGGAAACTGCAGAAGTGTGGAGGAAAACATGTTCTTCATTGATTGAACTTCACACAATTAACTGTATTCCTTTGACTCCTGCCTCTTGACTACTTTGGTTAAAGTTGGCCTATAAAACATTGCCTGCAACTAGTTCCTTCCAACAGAGAGAAGTAATGGCACAGGTACACGCTTTTGGTCCAGTGTAGTACCAGAGGGTTATTTTCTGTGCTGGATTTACAGAAGCTGTAATTTCATTTCACCCTCTTCTCTCCCACTCACAGCACTGGGATGCAAAAGAAGAGGCTGTCACTTGGAGAAATCTGTTTATATGTTTCTGTCAACAAGCATCGGGCTTCATTTTCCCAGTCCTTCTGATATCAGACAATGGAGATGCAGGGAATGGAAGTGAAATCTGATGCTCAAAATTGAAGGAAAATGAATAGCTCACCATAAAAGATCTGAAGACACCTGTTGTGACAAAGCTTTTGTTTGCTCTTATAGGACAAATAGGGAAAGACTAGGCCGAGAATACGTCTGAGGTCTCATCTGGTCACAAACAGCAGCAATCTAACACATGTGGACTGAGAACAGATCTACCACTGAGGATAACTCACATTTATGGGCAACAAACCCGTCCTTGTAAAACACCTTTATGTTGGTATGGAAAAGGCAAGTCCTTGCTCTTGTGTGAAGCCTTGGTTTGCAGGACAATGATCAATTCATACCACTGATGAGATCGTTATGAGATGAAAATGAACATAGGATTTATCTAAGAGATTTCTCACAGATCCATGGAGCACGAAATTCACAGCTGGAGGCACGAAATTGACCTTTCATCAGGACAGCACAGTGTTGCACGCGGCTGTTAAAGAGGACCCTGCAAGAGACACAGAACAGAAGTGAGACTGAGAGAAAATACTGATTGTCTCCTGGAGGCAAGAAAGAAAAAACACGTGATTGTGAAGAGTGTAGCCCAGAGGAAATGAAAGAACCCAACCTCCAAAAGGCAGCTGTTAGAAAATAAAATGTACACTAAAGAACCCACCTTCCTGCCACTACCAAGTAATTTTGCCATTGTGGAACCTAAATCAGAATGAAACATAGACATGATGCCTTGTAGTGGCAGTGACATCCACCAGCATGAGAATGGCAGTGCTGAGTGTTTCATGGAAAGATGATCACCTCCAAGGAGTTTGTAAGAACAGAAAGCTAGATTTAAGCATTGAACTAAATCAAGTGCCTAGAGTGCTGACCTACTGACAGTGAGATCTTGGGTGAATTTCCTTGCTGAAGAGGCATTAGAAACTAACTCATTGTCTTAACTGCCATTAAAAGAAAAGACCAGGCAAAGTCAGTGGACTAAACCATAAATGTTTTCCCTCGTGCAAAATGCTGAGTTTTGTCCATGTAAAGACTGAGCTGAAATTAAGGTTCTGACTTGGGTTGGCACCAGTGCAGCAGCAAAGGGCTGGGTCTTCATATCCAGTGACATCAGCATTTGACAGAATTGGTGCAAGGTGACTAAACCTAGTAAAGCCATATGCCTTTCTGACCGAGCCTCTGTTTGGGTGGTACAGGTAAATAAAATCCTTGGTCTGAGCAGCTGGTGGGAACTAGAGAGTGAAATACTAATATTAGACCTGCTTTTCACAGGTACAAAGTGCAGGGCAGTAAAAAGGAGACCATGTTGAGCTTACTGCAGTACAGGTGACAGGAAGAAGAAAATCTGCCCAGGAAGAAAGGTCCTGAGATCTGGAGTATTGTGGAACACCAGGCAATCTGAATTAGCACTGTTGTTTTTAAAATAGAATGAAACTCACTTGGTGTAATTGGATACAGAGCCATCTGCCCAAATCCATCCAGAGGTTGTGCTGTTCCTCAGTCCAATCCAGAAACGTTCTGTTTGAATACGCTTGAACAGATCCTAGAAACAATGATGAATTACAAAGTGACTAATGGCTAACAAAAGTCAGCCAGATAATGGAGGTCAGGATAAGTAAAGAGAACAGAAAGCAAGATACATCCCTTTGCCTGATTGTTCCTTAAGTGGTTGACAATATGCTTACCCACACCTTCTATTCAGGAAGATCGGCCTTGCAAATCATGCGTGGAATAAAAACTGTGTGTACACTCACAAGGAAGTAAGCATGGTTTCAGCGTCCTGAGGAGATTCTTCAAAGGACATTTCTCAGGGCAGTATACAAGAAACAACTGTTGTTGAATATGCAAGTTGAATATGAGCGCCCTGGCAGCCAGGAGTGCCAACCGTGTCCTGGGGGGCATCAGGTAAAGCATCGCCAGCTGCTCAAAGGGAGGGGATTGTCCTGCTCTGATCTGCACTGGGGCAGCCTCACCTCAAGTCATGTGTGCAGTTTTGGTCACCGAAATATAAAAATGACAGTAAACTATTAGAGACATAGAGAGGAGGGCCATGAGGATGTTGAAGGGTCTGTAGAGGAAGCTGAATGAGAAGCGGCTGAGGTCACTTGGTTTGTTCAGCCTGGAGAAGGGGAGACTGAGGGGAGACTTCATTGGGGTCTTCAGCATCCTCATGAGAGGCAGTGGAGGGGATGGTACAGATCCTTTTACTCTCATGACCAGTGATAGGACTCAAGGAAAAGGCATGAAGCTGAGTAGGGGGAGGTTTAGGTTAGATACCAGGAAAAGATTTTTCACCCAAAGTGTGGTTGGGCACTGGAACAGGCTCTCCAGGGAAGTGGTCACAGCACCAAGCCTGTCTGAGTTCAACAAGTCTCTGGACAATTCTCTCAGGCACATGGTGTGATTCTTGGGGCTGTCCTGTGCAGAGCCAGGAGTTGGACTCAATGATCCTGATGGATCCCTTTCAACTCAGCATATTCTATGATTCTAGGAAGTGCACGCCAGTCTCCTGGAGTTTCCCACACACTTTATGTAGGAATGTTTGCTATTAGAATTAATATTAACGCTCTACCATATAGCTAGCTAGCAAGCTACTACAAAGTATTAACAATTACAGGTAAAATCAGGGCACAGCAGGAAGTGCAGGCACTGACAGATGTGTAATAGAACCAGGACCAAAGCTCTTTAAATTTTATACAAACTTTCCTCTTAGTTTTTCGCAATATTCATTTTCTTTTGGCTAAATTTTAACTCTTGTTTATTGTTAAAAGGTAAAGCCTGCAACAGAAAGTTAGCCCTGAAGTAAATCCCCTGCCCTTCCCTTCCCTCCAAAAAAAAATAAAAGACAAAGCCAGGAGAGATAAGTTTTTCTTGTCCACCTTTGCAATGAAACCAAAGAACAGCAACCTTTCAGCTGTATGGCTGTGCTCCATCCTTATCTTCTGCTGCCATAACAAAGCTTCAGAGAAGACATCTTCACAGAGAAGTCACTAACAAAGGTAGCTTGGTAAAGTCGTGGGAATAGGAGCAGCTTGAGGAACTACTTGAGTGTTGCTGGTGGTTTGGAGGTGACTGCGTTTCCCTGGCACACAGAGGTTGAGCAATCGCAGCATAAGGCATGGATAGTTAGGAGAGTCTCACTCAGATGGGTAAGTCTGAGCAGGAATAATGGGTAACACTCAAGAAGCAGAGATAGTAGTACGAAAGCAGCCAGACCAGGAAGGATTTCTTTATGCAGAGAAATGGGTCATTTGGGGAGAATGCCTATTTCTTAAGGAGTCCAGATTTGTCTAAGCAAATGTGAGAGCCTGGTAGATACTCCCAGTCAAGTAGAGACCTGGATTTGTAAGCCCTCACAGAACATCATACAATGCAACTTCTGTCCAGGGACTGGAAGCTGTCCACGTTCACTGGACCCGATCTAATAAGCCCTGGCTTGCACAAAACCAGATCAAGGGCTTCTGCTCTACTTAAGCAGATGTGCCTCAGTGCCCCAGTAATCAGCACTAGCCCTTTCTTTAGTGACCATACATGCCCTGCCTGCAGTGAGCACCTGCAGTGGAACAGATGGTTCTTCCTTTCACCAGCACAACTGAGGTATTTTGGCAGAGAGAGGAAGTAAGCATTGAAAACAGACTGAGGAAGAAATATCCATGCATGAACACAGGGAATGGCATGGGTCACTGAGCAGGAGGAGCTGGAGTGGTTGCAGGGAGGAGAAGCATCGCTTTTGAAAAGGAAGCATTCCTTGAGAGTGGGGACGTACTGGTTTGTGAGCAATGCGCACGTGACTGCCCAGTGTCACAGTCATTTCCTGTAGTCACTCGATCAGCCTTATTGAGGATAGGAGGGAAGGTGAGAGGAGCAGTGGAAAAGGTTGTCTCCTGACATTGTTCATAGGATGATTCTGAGTAGCTGACAGTGACCCTTATCTCTCCCTTCTCCCCTTTGTTCCTCTGCTTCCTGCAAACTTCTAAGGTGTATACTGAAACTGGCAGTGCACTGTAACATCAGTCATAAATCCTTCCTCTCATTTAAAGCCAAAATATTGCTGAAGTGACAGCACTGCTTGGATATCAGTCACTTAGGTATCTGCAAGGAAATGGGAGATCCTCAAAGACTAAGAAAACCATTACCATTTCCCAGGTATCACTGATGACCAGGAGGTGAGCTCCCTGTGACCAGCAGGATAGCTGGCTGGAATTCCAGTCCTTCTCCTCCTTGGAGAAGGAGTAGCAGCTCCCTCTGTAGGCCACCCACTCTTCAGGGCAGCGTGGGTAGGAGTCACCTGTAAAAAAGTCAAAATACTAGCTTTTCTCTATCATTAACCAACAGAAAGACACTTGTCAGCAAGGACCTACTGAAAAGCAACTCTCCTGAACAGTTGCAATGCAGAAAACACAAGCATCTGAAAACAACAACGCATGAACACAGATTGTCTGTGCAATTTCCAAATCTTCTAACAATAGTCACATGCACTCTGGTGCTGGTGCAAGCACGCATACACACACACCCACACACCAGGTTTCCACTGAACTACTTAGACACCCAGCAACTAAAACTGGCTATCTGAAAGCAGATTACACTCTGTGGGTACAGTGTGATCATGTCACACATCAGGTGAGTAGATTTTAAGCAGATAACAGTAGGCTCCTCCACATGGTCTAGTACCTTCTGCATGCATGCAGAAGCGTTACAGACCTTACACATTTTTTCTACAGTTTAACACTAGAATTACAGCCAGCAAGTCTACAAAACCTTTGCAATATGTTTCATTGTTCTTTGCCACAGGATCTGAAATGGGTTGCCTGCACAAGGAATATTCTGGATAGGCAGTGGGTACATAAGGCTGGTAGAAACCTAGAATAGCTTCTGGTTTAACCCCGTATAATGGAGCTCCTCTACTTAGGTAAGTCTCCAGTCCTTTGCTTTTGGTTGCTAGATCTCAGCAATGCCTTGTGCACTTACTCATCTTCCAAACCAAAGCAATCGCTAGGGAGATGCTCAGTATCCCAAAGCTTATAGTCAAGCCCAGCACAACTGCTGACCACACACGGGGAGCTGTAAAAGAGAAAAGAAATCACAGTGAACAGCAGCCACATGAAAACTGACCATGGTTTTACATAGTTTGCATTGTCCTGGGTATTTCCATAAAGAACTGAGTTCTTTAGAGCATCACTGTCTACACCCTGCGTGCACATGGCTGACATCACTGTCCCTGCCCAGCTTACCTGGGGCCTCCCCATGCCCCTGCCCACTGGCCCAGGTTCCCATTTCAGCTGGGCTTGGGGCAATCAGTCCCTGCTTGGGCTTCCCAGGAGGTGCCTGTCACCCCACCAGCCCCAGCTCTGCCCATTCCTGGCCACAAAGATGCTGGTCCAGCCCCTGTGGTGGCTGACCCCAACTGAGCTGGAGCCCCCCCAGGCAACATGTGGAGCCTTGTGCTGGCAGGAGCCTCCCAACAAACCCACTCCTGCCTCAGTATTGAAGCTTGGGGTGGAAACACAGAGCCATATTGCTACAGCCACCATGTTGCAGCTTATATGTAAAAAGAAACCAAAAGGTTTTCCCCCAGGAACAGGTTTAATCTTAGCATCCTGTTCACAGGCTTAGGCATATGGTCATGTTACATCTTCCCAGGATACTCTCAAGTCAGTTCTATGTTCTTATCTGCCGCATCCATGGTGGGGTGGTAGGGTGAGAGAGCCAGCCTTGAAGACCTTTGGATGACTGTCCCTCCATAATTTCACCACCACCATCTGCTGTTCACTTGCTGCCACTGGCAGAGGGTGAGTCCTTGGAGCAGCCTCCACTGTAGCCCAGCACAGCTCCCTTTCAAAAGGCTGATCAGGACTGACAGGTAGAGATCTGCTCATGTCCAGCAGGACATGTTAACATCCAGGCTGCATGTTGCTTTCCTGTTGTCATCTCCTGGAGCTGTGTTTGACCTGAGAGGCATTCACTTTCCATAAAACATTTGAAATCCCAGCACTAAAATCTCCTCTCTCCCCAGTTCAGGAGAGGATGACACTGTCACAGATGAGTTCCAGGGGAGTTTGGTTTGCTTGTTTTATTAATCTCAGTATGACAGCAGCACAGACAACAGGACTTTCTAAGAAGCAGTAAATGTGCAGTTAACTTATGTACTACATCCTGCTCTTGTCATGCTCCAGAGCCTTCTACTCAAATACAGTAGCAAAGTCCCCATTGGATCTCATGAAATTTGAGGTGCTTCTCTCTTGGTCATGCCACAAGACCCAAAGAAACACATTTGATCTCCTGGTGGAGGCTGAAAACAAATGCATATCACATATCAAGAATAGTGTGGGAAAGGCAAAGAAAGCCAGTGCTAAAACAAAAGGGAAAGGGACTTAACTTAGAAAACAAGAATGTGTCCTTTAAACATGGGAAGCTTTGTCCAAATACAGAAAGTAGACCAACTCAGTAAATTAATAAATACTAATTCATTTTTATCTTGAGCAGTTTGCAGGCTCACTAATGTTAAGGCCATTTTGTCATTTTTAGCAATATATTTAGACTTGCAGTTTTGGCTAGAAGTTTCGAAGGTAACAAGGGAGAGCATGAGGGAGCTTTGTTGTAAGCATCATTCTTTTGGTATAAAGATCTTTTCTAAGATAAAAGTTTTGTCATGTTTCCTGAAGCTTGTAGGACTTCTAGTTGCCCAATCATAGTTAAAAAATTGTATTTCTTATTTTGTAAACTCATTATTAAATAACAAACCCCCACCTCTTTTCAGTTACAAAACACAGAAAGACTTTTCAATTACAACATACTCTTTGGCTTCACACAAGGAGACAATGGGAGAACTGTAGGACTTGGACTGGGTCTGGAACTTGAACTTTGACTCTGCTCTCTATTCTTCTTGTAAGGTCATGTTTGTATATCTGGTAACTTGGGTTTTTTCATCAGAATAAGCCTCAAGAGAATGCCGTCAGCCTGAGGATAAGGGATAGGGTGGAGAGTCTTCTCTGCAGATTACAACTGAAAACTAAGTAAAAGGAGATAAATATCTATTGACACAAATCTCTTGGTTCTGAGATCATACTTCTGAGGATTTGCACTTCTGTTTTTCTTCCTCTCTTGCCTCTCCAAAGAAGCTATCTCCTGGATCCTTCAGATCACTGTTACTGATTTTAAGGAAAACTACTGCCAGGACAAGGGTGGGATGACTGTGAAGCGGTTAATCCTTAAATGTCAGCACCGGGCACCAGAGCTGGTGCCTCCCGGCAATGAATAGAGCAGTTCTCTATTGTTTTAGACCAACTGCAGAAAAAAAAGAAAACGACAAACATCACACAGGCTAGCACTGTCTTAAGTGACTGGTGGACTGACATTTTGGTACTGCAGCATATCTAAGACTCTCTGGAAGCCAAATAGAAGACACAACCAAGGCAACTCTTCGTTTTTGAGGAGTTCATAAGAGCCAAAACCTGTTTGTTTAACCAGAGGACTGATCTATACAACCGTGATAGTGTGCCACAGAGATGACTACAAAGTCAGCAAGGGTATGCTTGGACACAGAAAAAATGCCTGAGAGCACGTCTCTCAAAAGTGATGGAGGTAGGGACAGAGTTGAATAAGAAGATCTTCTAAAGGAAGGTACTTAAATTAAGTTCCTTAGGGACCCCTTGCATGCTAAAGAGAGCTGAGAAATAATCCAATAATATGCACAGAAAGTGTGTTCAAAGATCAGCTTCCTTACTTTAGGCTCTCTGACTTTAGCTCAAAAAGATGAGGGTACATAAAAGACTGTGGAAAGGAGGAATATCAAAAAGAAAAATGCAAACATCTCAAGAGATGTCACTGTGTTTTCAGATGTGAGTACTAGAGAGAAACTTGGAGGTTTCTGTGCTGGCTTTTTTCCCATCACGCAGCAAGTGACCAGGCAGCAGTAACTACCACAGGTATATGCAATTATTCTGATCAGGGCATAGAAATCTTGTAGGCCACAGTAAGAGCCCCTCTGCTGTAACAGTTCTGAAAAACATTAAGGTGAACCATTAGTATTGCAGCCAATGCAACACAACTCATCTGAAGTATACAGGCATTTCATAGAATCATAGAACAGTTTCGGGTAGAAAGGACCTTAAGAAAATGCAGTTCCAACCCCTCCGATATTTTGTGAGAAGGAGACACTTACAAAGAATGACCATCAATGCAAAATCTCACTCTTCTAAGGTGACATTTCTCAACTAAGCAGCCAGAGGAATTGCTCAGTGTGACACTGACAACGCCTATCAGGGGTAATGGAGAGAAAATAAGGGAAGAAAAAATTTAAGGAAAGCACTAAGAAAATCTTCCTGATAGTAAGATTCCCTGCAGATTTGTCTCAAGGCAAAAGCTGAAAATTTGCTCACTGGGAGGCATATAAAACTAGAACACAAAAACCACAAAAAAATCTATTACAAAAGAATCCTTCATAGCCCCAGGGGAGAGAGGCTGCATGACATCATATGCCTTCTCTGTCTCTGATCTCTGATTACTATATGCCTCTAATTTATCTGTATTCACATCTTGCCTGCCCTTCAAAGAACTATTGCTTACAGTCCCTTGTTGCTGACAAGCAGACAACTTTAAATCTCTTGTGGACAAAAGGATGCCTGGGTTGAATGCCCAGGAGCAGATACTGAAAAAAGAGGGAGGGGAACAATGCTGGGTCTCAAACCCATCAGCTTTTTTCACATTAAAATATTCACAGTAATTTTAGAACCAAAGCAACAGCACCCTAAACTGGCACTCAGAATCAGTAGCCAGCTGAGGGTTTCTGTTAGATCTTGCTTGCACTCAAAATAAAATCTTTTGCTGACTGACCTCACCTGGCTTTCTTACCTCTTTTTTTCTGTGAAGCTTTGGCCCTTGGTGGAGAAGCCTGAGAGAATTTGACAGATGTATAAGTTACCTCCTCACTCACATCAGCTGCAGAAGTTTCTGATCTGCTTCCCTCCATGCCAAAGCAAAGAGTGCGCACAAGATGTTTCGATCAGGCTGTTGAACAACAGGGCTCCACGCCTGCGAAACAGGAAACCTGAGGCTATATTCAAAAGACTAAGAAATTTGAAGTTGCAACCTCCATCTCCAGCTGCCCAAGATAACCAAATTTACAACAGAATGGAAAGCAGTGGAACTGCAGCAACTTCCATTTCCTAATCTGGTGAAGGATGTTTTAAGAATAACTGCTAGTGGAAAAGGTGATTAATCACCAAACTCATGAGTATTCTAACTGTTGCCAATACAAGAGGGTGTGGTTACACAGAGGCAGTAACTGGGAGGATGTGTGCTGCTCTGAGGAGCTTCCTTTCAGGGGCAGAAGCAGGTGGATAATGAGAGCACAAGGTAAGAAGGTGAACAGCATGAGCACAAGGTGAAAAGTGCGATTAGCAATGGCTACGGCAAACTGGCAGCCCAGCTGCTGTCAAAAGGGAAGTAGAGGTGGACAGCATGAGTTTGAGAAGGAAGCCTTGTAAGCTCTGGACACTTCTACTAGGAACTCTTTCTACACCAAATACCAGTGTGAATGTGCTTGCAACACAAGGCAGGCACTGAGAGCTGGCATCCCTCAAGACTCTGAGTCAACACCTTAACAGCATCAGTATAAAAGAGATATGGACATGCTGGAGACAGTCTAGCAAAGAGCCACAAAGATGATGGACTGCAGCAACTCTCCTATGAGGAAAGGCTGAGAGATCTGGGACTGTTTAGCCTGAAGAAGAGACATCTTGGAGAGCATCTAATTAATGTATATAAATTCCTCAAGGAAGGATACAAGAAGAGTCAAACTCTTTTTAGTGGTGCCCAGTGACAGGACAAGAAGCAATGGGCACAGATGTTCTCTCTGAACCTCAGGAAACACTTTTTTACTGTGAGGGTGATCAAACACTAACAGAGGTCGGCCATAAAGGCTGAGGTGCCTCCCTCAATAGAGAGTTGTCTGGACGCAGTCCTGGGCTGTAGGTGGACCAGGCTGTAGATAGCCTGTCTTGAGCAGGGGGTTGGACCATAAGACCTTGAGAGATCCCTTCCCAATGCAATCATTTAGTGACTCTGTGGTCAGCAATAACAGGAAAGGATATTTTTCTTTTGAAGTACTGACCATTGATGAAATAGTTCAAGTTGCACTGGGGGAGGTTTAGATTGGATGTTGGGAAAATTTTCTTGACCAAAAGGATTATCAAGCACTGGAACAGCTGTCCAGGAAAGTAGTTGCATCAACATCCCTGAAAGTTTTTTAAAAAGATGCAGATGTGAAGCTTAGGGACATGGTTTAGTGGTGGGCTTGGCAGTGTCAGGTTAACGGTTGAACTCAATGATCTTAAGGGTCTTTTCCAGCCTAAAAGATTCTTTGATTCTATGATGGGGACTACTGATGCTTCTAGCAACCTGAGAAACCTCTTAGCCACATGGTTGGCTTTTTGTTTTAATCCAGATTCTGATCTTTTCCATTTCATGCTCAGAATGGGAATGTTTGCCAGGCTCAAGGTGCACATCTTCAGCACAGTAGAGTACAGGCAATTTACCAGAACTGTTTGGGCATTCTCAACAAAGTAGCTGAGATGACTGCTACTCCCGACAGGGATGGTTGTTATGCATCCTGGTGACATGCTCTAAATTTGAGAAATGATTGCGTGGGAGGATGCTTAGTTTGATACAGTGTTGTGGCAAATTCGTTACAATGCACATGTCTAGGAAGGCATGAATCGGATATTTCTGCAAATTTCTCCACTTGCCTCTAAGGGTGGCATGTAGCACCCACAGAATTCCTTCCAATCCTGGGTAGAGCCTGTAGACAGCAAGATAGGGAGTCTGTGCTTGAAGGGAAGGGGAAGGCAGAAGACAGCAGGAAGAAGAAGAAAGTTTCTCCTGAATGCTTTGAGTGGATAATACAGAAGTCTAAAGAGAGCTCTCAAGCCCAGAGAGCTCCTACACTCACAAGTACAACTTAGCTGGGAATACAATCTGTGTGGCTGAAAAGAAGCCAAAAGGATTCAGACACAGCCTAAGTGCCAAGACCAAGGGGAAAAGGCCCTGCAGGCAGCAGAGTGACCAAAAATACAGTGCTATTTGTGAAGAACTGGAGAAGCAAAGGCTCGCAAGAAAGAATTAAGACCTCTGTTTTGATGCGGTTTACCATTTTTTTCTCAAATATCAGCAGTAAGGTGAATTCTTAGTTTCAACAGGAAATAGAGAGAGTCACACCGTAGGAGGTGGGCAGGCAACGCACGGTTAATAGCTAAGTGTGAATAAATAAGTCTCACTTCTGCAGCTGTGCCATACTCCCAGTTGAATCACAGCAGGACTAAATCAACCAGTTTGCCAGGAGCCAACAATGCTCCTTCCCCAGTTCTTCACTGCTGGAGCACCATACCATGGGGAAACCTTCCAAACTTATCTCAAACAAGTGGCTTCTCTAGCATGTTCTTAACTTCACTAAACACCACATTTCTTTCTTAAGTAAAAGATGCAAAACCCTCAGAACTCTGACAAGGAACATCTGTCCCTTCCAGCAACAGACCCCTGGAAAGTGGACTCTCTTAGCACTGCAGTGAGAACATGACTTAAGGAGGTAAATGTCCTTTAAATGGGCCAGTCTCAAATAATTTATAGCTTTATGAATCACACCCAGGATGCTCAAGTACACCACCCTTGTGCACTATCAGCTGGACCTGGAATTCCTCTGCAGTGGCAAAATTTGCGGGAGTTATGAGAGACATCTTGATTCCAAAGTATAACAAAGCATGAATGTGCTGGATGGAGAGAGTCTACCACAGCAGACACAAAGCGGGGACAAAATCAGAAGGATCGAGGCCACAAAGCAGTTTTGTGAACTGGTCTAGACCCCTCGCTCGTTTAACACCGTGGAGGCACCCGGTGGGGACGGCAAAGCGCCAGGACAAAGTGCTGGACCACCACCGCCTCCGGCAGCGGGAGCAAGGGGAGCGGTGCCGCCGAGCAGCCTGCCTGCTGCTGTACGGGGGATAGAAGAGGGGAAAGCGCGACTTCCAGCTGGGAAAGCCACAAAGCATTGGGATGAGGTGACTTCCAGCGGGGAGGCGGAAGCCCCACGGCTCGGCACTGTCTCCCTCTGCGCCCCACTGCCTCCAAAAGGCCACCCCCGCCTGAGGACTCGCCCTTCCCGCCGGCCCTCGCCGCTCATTGGACGGGAAGCGCGGGGAGGCGGAGCCCCGGCACAGCCTGCCCCGCCCATTGGGTAGTGGAGGGAAGTGGGCGGGGCCCGGCGCGGCCCGGCGCTCCCCGCCGCGCTCCATTCGCCGCGCTCCATTCGCTGCGGGGCCGCTCCTGGGCGGGCGATCCCGGCGGCTCCCGGGCTCCCATTGGCGGCGGCGCCAGTTCCGCCACGCTCCTTCCGGCTGGCGGGGCGAGCGAGGGAGCCGGCCGGGACGCGGAGGAGGCCGGTGTCGCCCGTTCCTGCGCCCCGCGGGCCGCCCAGCATGGGATACCCGTGACCCGCGGGTCTCTCTTCCCTACGGGCGGCGGCGCCTGTGCCCGTGCGCGGCGGGGAGGACGCGGGGCCGGCCGCAGGTGGGTGCGCGGGGCCGGGGCTGGGGCTGGGGCTGGGACGGTGCGGAGCGGGGCACGGCACGGCACGGCGAGGGGGAGCCGCGGGGCAGCGGCCAGGGGGGGACTGTCCTGAGTGGCTCCCGACGCCGTGCGGCGGGTTCCCGGGAGCAGCCGTGTCCAGTGCTGGGGGCAGGGACCTGCCTTTGGCGTCGGGAGAGGCGAGTCACGAGCCCTCGTGTCACGGGCTTCCTCCTTTCAGCGAGCGCGCAGGGGAGCAGGCTGCCCAGGCAGGCTGTCGGGTTTCCCTCGCTGTGGATGTTCCGGAGCCGCCTGGACGCCATCCTGTGCGTTGTGCTCTAGGACGGCCCTGCTTGTGCGAGGAGGTTGGACCGAGTGACCCGCTGTGGTTCCTTCCAACCTGACCGATTCGGGGCTTTAGGCGTTTCTGACCTCGTGTTGGCGCCTGGCCCCCGTGGCGAGCAGAGCCCCGGATCGGCAGTGTCCGGCAGGGGTGCGGGGAAACCACTGGGTTCAGTCAGATGGGCTCTGTGCCCATCTGCAGCCGGGCGATTATTTAATTGAGGGTCTGCCGCCTGCCTTCCATCAGCACGTGGGGCTTTACCAAAATCTGCAGCAGAATAATCTGTTGTACTGCTCTGGTTGGCTGGTGCGATCATTGAATGTTTCGTGCATGACTTTAGCATGAACCTGAAAGCCAGGTCTTCTAGATTTCATTATTATTATCATCTTCATTACAGCTTCGTTGCCTGGATCTCACACAGGATGTCTTGCTTTCCTCCTTCCCTTGTGTAAACGGAAGAAAACTTCTGTGAAGTTGCAGCTTAGCATTATTAAACACTTTCAGATTCTCAGCTGAAGTAGTACTAGAAAGATAATTATTAAGATTAAGGCACTTGAACAGAGCCTGACTAATCACAGTGGGTCTTTCCTGTGAGCTCTCTACATGAGATCTGTTGAAGAGGATTGATTAGAAGCCTGATAAATAATTTTCCACTGACTGGCTTCTTGGTGCAATGCAATAACAGTGGTTTATGCCTGAAAATTACTCCAGTGTTCAGCCTGCAGGACTCTGGTCTGGCAGCTAATTAGTGTTCTCAGCAGCAAAACTTTTGGAGGTCCCAAGGGAAAATTCAGAGAAGAGTCCCAAGTGGGCCCAGTGAATTGCCTTTAGCCATGCAACAGACTCAGACTTAGTGTCTCTGGGGAACTGTGAGTTGTTTCTAGACTTCAACTTCTCCTTTTTGCAGTCAGGACTGAGGAAGTGGCTAATCATTGACTCCATGACCCTGAAGTTAGTTTGCAGGGGGCTGAAACAGTTAATCCTCTGTGTTCTCTGTGGCTTGTGTACAGGATGTCATCACCTTGCCATACCTCTGCCTTGCTGCTGGTCTTTATGGCCCTGGCTGTGTC